TTTCGACACGGATTAAAAACCAGTTGTAAGCAGATAATTTATCTGGTGCAGATAAGATTTGACTTGCTTATTCATACTAGAATATTCAACATATTGCAACAAACTCTGGTATGATTGGTCTACACAAAATAAGACCAAGATTCCAACAAGAACGTGGGGCGGGTTAACTTATTACAACTATTTCAGTTTCAGCTAGTAGAGGTGTCGGTTCTAAAATGTCTGACAGAATCAACTAGAAAAGACAATATATTTAAAGACTGAAACTATTCTATTTAGTCCACTGTATACTTGCTATGTATTGTACAAATATGTTGCTCGTCTGTGTCTACTAATACTTGATACCAGCTCCTGCTATTTATTTCGAATTGAGTATGACGATTCATATAATTATGCACACAGATAATAAATAAAAATGCATCGAATTTTTTGCCTGTTTTAGTTTTGCCTTTTTTATTTGATTTACTTCCATTTTTGCTCAGCTAATTTCAACTCGAAAAAATGTTCGGTGATCCATAGTAGAGATTAGAATAGACATATTCTAATGTACCAGTCATTTCCATTCACGTGTTTATAGATGATCAGATAATCACTAGTTCAAAATGCCATGCAATCTGCACACTTACATACGATGAACTCAAAACATTAATACACATGTTGCCTTTTGACCCGTTTATTTGAATTAAACCCTAATACATATAACTCATTATAACCAATAACCCAAGTCTTGAATTCATCTACTTTTAAATATTAATTTAAAACTGACAATGTCACAACACCGTTTACTTGACCAACATTCTCTGGGGCTTGAGAGTAACTGTGAAAGGACACCCACATTAACATCTGTAAGTTGAAAAGAACAAGATATAGCTGAGAATATTCCTAAAATACGACATAATTCATTCGTAATAGCACAACAAGCAACGGAGATTGTTCTACTTAAGTTTGAATATTTCTGGTTGATATTTGTATATTTGGTCTGACGACGTAAACAGCGGACAACTGTACGCTCAACTGGCGTAAAACTAGTCGAAAATTCCATTCAAACTATAACTAATTTAACTGTTAACAGTTTTACCGAATGATTGTATTAATATAGTTAATCAGTTCCTTAATTGAATTCACACAAATAATTTCGGCGCTACTCTTTTTGTTGAGATTTGTCATAAGCAGGGTTTACCAAAACAAAAGATAAGCATTGCATTTACAACTGCTATACACCTCGCTTCTGAAAAACGGACAGTAGCTAGATGTTTGGCCAAATGTACAATGTTTAAATTGTTATGTAATTAATGATTAAATTTCACTTACGATGTCCCAAGCACTTTCCAACTCTCACCAAAATCAATGGCGTTATCAGCAATAGTACCATCAGGCTTCTGGAAGTCATCATGGCTATCACCATTGTAATTACCCAATAAGCCACACAGCTTGCCACGATAATCAGAGCCAGAAATGTCAATGGTGAAGATGTGTTTTCGCAATGTCCAATCCACTTTGAATACAGTATTTTTCAATGTGAAACTCAAAATTATCTTTTCTTCAGTTTCTACGGCTTGTATGATTTCCGATTTTGACAAACTATTCGTTTTTCCCTGTAAGATAATTTGTTGTGGGTTAGTTTGGTTGATAAATTGTAAATAATTAGACATTGAAATGAAATATTATTTGAATAATATTGATACTTGTTACTCACTGTCACTATGTCTAGTCTGTCCACATTGGCATATTCATCACCAACAGTAATATTGATAGCCACAACTCTAGTTTTGATTTCACCACTGGTGTTATCTTCACGAGGTTCAAATTTAGCAATGATTTTGAAATCTGGTTTGACATTGGAGCAGTCTTTTACCAGCGTGTACCAACATACCCCCTGATGACTGTAATGTCGACCATCCAACGTGGTAAAATGAGGATCACATTTAACAGCCCCACCATCTGTTGAATATATATAACATGTTTACAGTCCAAATTATTATTTCAGTATAGTTGACAAAACACATTCTTAACTGAAAATAAAATATGCATGGAGAAGATGTATTATATAAAACATAATAAAAACTAATAATTTTGAGATAGTTTAGTCATAAGGCTTGGTCAAGTTTGGTCAATATCGAAAGTCGTTAAATTGTAAGGAATCAATATCTCCCCTAAAATCTAATAGATTTGCCATTGACTGAACTGCAAAGGCTAATAAAAATTCAACATGCCAGGCAATAAACACGTATTGCACTAAACACTTAAAAAAATCAGTTTTTTTCGAGGCGGTCGGTTCGTCTCTGACTAAAGGGCAGCAACTACAAAATAATGAAATCGTCCAAAGCAACGTACAGTTATCCTGCAGAATATGAGACAAAACAACGCAGGTATACCACAGGGAAGAGGTCACATACCATTACAAAATAAGTAACGCTTACATTGCATTATCAATGTAGCAGGAATTTATACAGTGCAACAGTGTTTTTATAGTTAAAATAACAAAAATAAACCCGTTAATTGTACAATCACATATATCATTATAATAAACATAACATAAAATGTAGTCACTCACCACAGATATCTAGAAATCTCTGTGTCACAGTTCCTGTTATACTAAGGGTTGAAAAGTCCCATGTATAAATATCACCATTGCCGAGTTGAGCACTTATTTCCTGTGCACTAAGAACACGCCCCCACATATTGAATTGCGTGATTTGTCCAATAAACGCTTGGAAATTAGAAAAGTGCCCATCAACTATGTCTTGATCTTGTCCAAGGTATAGGCTTCCGCCCCCCTCAAGCGTGACTCCTTGTGCTTTTGTACCATCGGCTACTACCACTCCATCGACGTACAACTTATAATGCCCAGTTGTAGATGTCCAAGTGAAGCAGATATGATGACATATGCCATCGTTGATAGCAACGCCAGTTGTTTCTGCATAACGATCATTGATATATATTTTCAGATTACCATAGTCTAACAAAAGCAGCTCGTTGGCATCATTAGGTACAGCATAAGACATCAAAGTACCATCATTATTAGTAGTCGACTTCATCCATATGCAATAACTGACTTCACTCATATCTGGGATCGGTGTTGTTATTTTGATACGAGAACCGGTGTCCTCTAAGTCCAGATAGAAAGACTGATCTTCAAAGTAAGTATAATTAGAGAACATGTAATTGGTGTATTAGTATGACACATTGAAATCGCAAAAACTCCTTGTGGTAATTAAGACGTTTTTAAATTGATTACTTAAATTTTAATAGGAGATGTACCGTTGGAAAAAACATATATTACATAATTTAAAATAAAAAGATCTACTAACCATTGCGTTTCTCCAATTCTTTCTGCAAAAGAAAACGTATTTATGTTAGTATAGTATTTTATCAATTGCAGTTGGAATACAAACACCCAGGCAGTATACAGTTACACACAAGTTTCTTGTACAGCGCCGTGATGCGTAACACCTTTCAAATGACGACGCAGAATACAAATGTCAGAATATCCTAGCAAAGAGATGAGTTATAATACTTTGGAAAATTTGGCAACTAAAGATTATCGGCAAACCTCAAGCACTAGACTGTTTCATTAGAAGCTGCATATATTAAATCATTCCCATCAACGAACCAATTAAAGTGTTCAATCACATTACTGCGCTGCCTTCAGATTGTGATCACATCAACATAAATATTACTTCATTGGTGGGGATTGTATCAAATTGAATGACTTGGAAAAATCAGATCTAAAATTATCATTTGTGTTGAAGTTAATTTTCATTGCCACAATTGCTTTTAACCTATTTATTGAATTGATGATCGAGATAATATAGTAAATTATATATATATATGGGTAATACAGAATGTTACCTCATCACCAAGTTTTGCACTCAGCACATGGGAGACACACAGACACGCAGTTATATAATACAATGCGTATACCCTCATCCTGTAATAAAATGAAGAACAACAGTATTGTATTTTCATTGGTATTTATGTATATTGCCATTAATTGCACAATGTTTGTCACATTGTCTGTTTTAAAAGAACTGAGGCGTAAAAATGAATACTACAAATGTTTAGAAAACACGTATATCGTTATATTCACAATATTTGTATGACAACGAACACATGTTTTTGATTTAATAGACTTAAGTAGGAAGAATTACGTCAATTATTTTTGTTTCCATGTGCAACACAAATATCTAAAGCAATATTTAACTAATCAATACTCAGGAGCATTTCTTCTGAAAATATCATGGCATTTCGTGAACACATTTTTGAGTTATAAGTATACACCTATATCAATGGCATAATTTGACAATTTCATGCGAGAATCACTTCATATCTTTTTTTTTTATTTATGAATATCCTATTTAATCCGCTCGTACATGTGTAGAACGTATTCATTGGCTTAATCTCCAAATTCTTGTTTTCAATCGTATTTCCCAAGCCTTCATTGAGAACGGCAGCTGCGAGAGCTACGATGAGCAACATTTTAAGAGCCAGCCGATATCGACACATTCGCATAAATTTTATTGAAGTGCATATCTTTTATATTTGCACATAATTGGGGGAACAATAGTTTATGTTTTGTGCGGAAAGATGTATCATGTTTATTTACACTGACAGTTGTTTTTCGACAATCGTGAAAGTAGTAAAAGCAACAGAGTTAAATATAAAATAACATCAATCACGTGACTGATATTTTCTTTGGTGTCACTGCAATAACGTGTGATATTTTCAGTCCTATACCAACAGAAATCAGTTGATAACACACTTGTCTATACGATACTAACTAAATACTACTAAATATTAATACTAAAAGACTATAGTGTAACCCCTCTCGTACGTTAAAGACTAATTCTAAACAAGTAAATCAAATTGTGGATAATGGTGTTTAAATAAAACTAGACACAATTCACATACATATAAAATAAGCAGAATCACGACTGCATAATGTTTACCCAAATTCCAAACGAACCACTGAAGTTCTATGGTGCATAATTTCATTTTCAACCTGACAGTCGCACTAACGATTAACAGGAAAATGTACCAATCCGCCAAGACCCATGACAAGTAAACAGTAATGAAAGCTATGGATTTTATCATATTACAATGCAGTCAATCCTCACATTTAATCCAGTCATTATAAGGCAAACAAAAGGGCACTGTCACACTTATGGCTTATCAGAGGAGAAACTATTTGAATAGTTGGGCTTACTTTGACGTAATTTCCATAAAAACCGATAAAATATAGAGGGTAAGAGATTTTACTAAAAAATAACTAAAATTACAGAACTGTAACAAATATAAACCAATACATCTGTAGTATCCAAGCCTGATTAATAGTTTATTAGACGACGACAGGTGACAGTAGATAGTCATCTATGTCGACTTTGTGGACAACAGAGCTAACACGGGTCGCAGTAATGTTATAATGGGATAAGAATCCCGTACTTAGCAGGACTTGTCGTTGAATAATGCCATATTTTAGTACAATATTTTTTGCTACTAAATTGTTTAGCTATTCACCTGATTTCACTGATGTGGGGATTTGATATTTAGTTTATCATGCTAGGCATTTAACGGGAGAGCATTATGTGGTTTGATTGGCCGCAAATCACGATCATCAAAACGTCGTATCAGAAAATACCGCAATATGAAGAATTGAAAAAAATACATTGACATTAACATTTGACTTTTATCGGGTGTAAACAATTGTGACAAGAGGATTGCGTACAAATCCTTAGAATAGTGCTCAGTTAAGAATACACGATTTCAGTTGTACACTCAGAAATCAGCAAGAGGTGAAATATGATCGACAATCGCATACAAAATACAAGCTGAGAATCATACCTTATACGGTGTCTTGCTAACACAAGTTTCAGTCACACGGGTTTGTTGAAGCTTCCGTTGATTTCGCTGTTGTACCTATCTGATGTCACATCGCGTGTTTTATCTATCCTGCTTATGACATTTAAGACCAACCCATTAGTGTTCGATCATTAGAAAACGCTACATCTGTGATATACTCTTGCTGGCAAATTGTGACTGGATGGTCAGAAAGATGATTGACAGAATGGCACGATATGATGTACATTTTCACATTGTACGCAACTGATGATGGATGCCAGTACTGTTAGTACAATGGCTGGATTGCGAAATAATGTAAATTTTTATGAATTGATGAGTGTTTTTCTTATTTCCATTGTGACCCACCAAAGTCCTGCCAATATTTCTGGAACATGGAAGATGGATTTTGTGAATAAATTTACGAAAACGTGAATATTTGTATTTTGAACGGCGAAAAGGTAGACACCACTAATACTTCTAATTCCCTGACATAGCATATATTTAAATATACTAATAATCGCATAGAAAATACATGATTTATTATTTATTTATATATATAAGAGTGTTTCTAATTTTTGAATTTTATCACGTTCATGTCACCCTATCATTTAGAGACATAAACATGCGAGAAAATAATACATCGTTAACGTTGGGCGTTCACCGGCCGTAAATGTATTCTCACTGAACAATATCGAAATCGTAATCGAAATTCGAAATGTGGTCTGGGTGTGTGTACAAATTACCAAGGTACGTCAATGAGGGCGCTGTTCAACAACGCAAGTGTGGATTACCCAGATACAGCGTTGTTTTATCGTAAGTTCATCCGTGAAAATTCTCGAGAATAGTCGGCAGTTTCAATCATGACTGTTAATCATTTCAATGTTAAAAAATCGCCATAATCAAGCTTAAGCTTCTGGATTCATATCTCTGACATGTTTATGTTTGAACTATATTACTATAAATAAAATTCTATATCCTAAGTCTGATACCTAACTGGGACTGTGCCATGCATGGTTTGTTGAATTTTATTGCATTCATGTCACCGTATCAGTTAGGGACATACACATGCGAGCAAAAAGAGCATCGTTAACATTGGGCGTTAACGCGGCCGTAAATGTATTCACACCAAACAGTACACGGGTTTTGAATGAATTCAACTGTGTTTTATGTGTAATCGTACAATAGGGCACCGTCTCATGTGCACGCCTGAGACATTAATAGAACCTCAATATTGCATGTCCAAACAGTGAAACGCTTTTTCGTTGGCCATTCCCACCTTGCACAACACTTATGCAAACATAAAGTCATTGTTACAAGAGTTTTGTCTAGTGATGTACAGTAAAAAACAAACAAGTAAGTAATATCAACTTATATAGTTATCAAGTCATAACATGCATATTCACTTATTTACAGTAAAACATGTTGGTAAAATATGCGTAGCTGGCCATGTTACCAAAATTACAATATATAGGCATACAGACTTAAACAGAAAGCGGACTGAAATCAGGAATATTCACAGCTGTTGTTTGCATGTATTGCTACAGTCGATACAATTACTCAGGGTGTGCCACCGATCGACGTGCGTTCAACAAAAGAAATTGTCTGGATTAGTCAAAATATTTCGTCAGCATCGTACTAGTTTTAAAATAATGAGTACATACCAAGACGTGTTTTAAAATCATCATGAATGCAAGCAAATGTATTCATCCCGCTGAAAGGTATAACGGCAAGGCTCACTCCAGTCACAGGTTTTTGCACTGTAGTGAGTTAAAAAAAGAAAGTGTTATTCCTTAAAGTAAGTTGATAAAAATTATCAACATTCGCCATAATGATGATTT